TTATACAGACAAGTAATATACATACCAAAAACAGTAAAACGACAGAGTAGCAGGTGCCAGCTTACAACAAGGTGCTGGGAGTGGTAGCGAGGAAAATGTGTGTCAGTCCACATCTGTTTTACAAGTGGTGACAACATATGATACAATTACAAGTTCCCAACGATTTTTAACAATACATATGGTCGTAACATCACAAAGCTATTTAGTTTTTAAAAGATATAATTATACCATCTTTCGTCAATTTTAACATTTAAGTTATCATTAATTCTATTAACATTATTAATTTTTAAAATCTATGTGCTCAAAATAATTATATTTCATACAATTCCCAAACTTAAAAAAGGAGAAACTCTTGCCAGTTCTAAATTTTCTTTTGAATATTACCGGGAATTTTCTTTTGAATATTAAAGTTAATATTTGTCGAAAATATTATTTTAGTTGCCAATATTTTAATTTGAAATAGCCACTCTGAATAATAATAAAAAGCGCAGAGTCCCCTCGGGAGAGAGGGACAGGATTAACGCTTCAACAATGGAATGTTCAGTAACAATGGAAGTGTTAAAAGAAAGCAACGTGCAAGATTTACAGGCGCAGATGCGGTTTTTTGCGTTTTGTGAGAAATCGAACATATTTTTAGACTCGTCTAAAAATTTTCTAATGAGTCTGGAAACAGGGGGACCTAATTCTTGCATTCTATGAGAACAGGTAAGATTGGCTATAATGTAATTATCTTAATCTTCACTATCGTTACTTTTGTCCGAGCTACGCCGGGCTTACCTGCTAGAATGGAAGCTAAAATTGAGAAAATTTATAGAAAAATCAGAAAAAAATTGAAACTTTATTCTAATAATTCAGAAGCTTTGATGAATTCTATAAAGGAAGATTCCGATTGTGGAATAACCTTTTATTAAATTGTTCAGACGAATTTTGCTATCAAGTTTAAATAATGTAAACAAAAACTCGGCAATAATTAATTACATATTTCATTTTCTAGTAAAAGAATTATCATCGAAATGCTTTTCTAGTTAGAATAACAGAATTTAATAAATTGTATTATAGATTCCCTGTGATGAGTTATGCATATTCAAATAGTCTAGCAGCATAGGCCAATAAAAAGATAAATTTGTTTTTTCAAATATTACCGAAAGTTGAAAATACATTTACCGGTATGAAATTTTATATTTTACTAGCAGGTGGGCCCGGCGTTGCTCGGGCAAAAGTAACGATAACTAAGATAAAGATTATTACGTTACAGTCAACCTTACCCGTTTTCACAGAATGCAAGAATTGGGTCCCCTTGTTTCCAGACTAATTAGAGAATTTTTAGATGGGTCTAAAAATATGTTCGATTTCCCGCAAAAACGAAAAAAACTGCATCTGCGTATTGCACGTCGCTTTCTCTTAACAATTCCATTGTTACGTAA